GCATCCAAAAACTATAGCATATAATTCTTTTTCAATCTGAGCATATTGCTCTTGACAAGAAGTTAATGACTTTGAGGCATATGCAATAGGATTTTTTTCATGACATATTACTGCTCCTACAGCATTTTTTGAAGCATCAGCTGACATTCTTATAGGCTTATTTATATTATAATGAACTAATACTGGAGCCTGACATATTAATGATTTTAATTTTATAAATTCTTGCTCATGTGACTCTGTCCATTGCCATATATTTTGTTTTTTAAGTAAAGCTCGAAGTAAATTAGTTTTTTCTGCTAAATTAGAAATGAAGCTACCTAGATAATTTATCATTCCTAAGAAGCGTTGAAGCTCTTTGACATTTGTTGGACTTTTCATATTAATTATAGCTTCTATTTTAGACTTATCAGGGGAAACACCATTTTTATTAAAAATATGTCCTACATAGCACACTTCAGGGACTCCAAAAGAACATTTTGTTTTATTAAATTTTATGTTTGCTTCTTGGGCCCTTTTAAAAACAGCTTCAAGACGTTGATTATGTTCAGACTCTGAAGAAGCAAATACAAGGATATCATCAATGAATGTTATTACACCGGGAAGACCTTCAAATGTTTCAGACATTATTCTATGAAATATTTCTCCGCTAGAATTAATACCATATGGAAGACGAAGAAATTTGTACCTTCCATAAGGTGTGTTAAATGTGCACAGGTCACTACTTTCATCATCTAATTTATAATCCAGTATCCCGAGTTAGCATCTAATTTAGAAAATATTGTAGCACCGGCTATTTTAGAACGTAAGTCATCAAATGTAGGATAAGGATAATGAGGTCTTTGAATTGCTAAATTTAAATTTCTCGGATCTAGGCATATACGTAATTTACCATTAGGTTTTTGTACTAGAACAATAGAACTCACCCATTTAGTTGGTTTTGTCACTTTTTCAATAACATGTAGTTTTTCCATTTCATCTAACTCTTGTTTTAATCTATCTCTAAGAGAATAGGGAATCCTACGAACTGGGCAGATTTTTGGAGGAATACTAGGATCAACATCTAAATGTGCTTCTTTGACTAAACATCCTAACCCTGTGAACATTGATGAATACTCATTAAGAATGTTTTGTACTGACCTTGACTGTAGTTGCTTATTTTCTGTTAAAGTAAATAATCTTTGTACTATACCCATTTTCTCACAACTTTTCCATCCTAAAATTGTCTGGCAATTGCAATCCGCAATAGTAAATTGTAAGTTATTTATCAAACCGTTAGTGAATTTGCATTCTAAATTACAAATACCGATATTTGGAATTAGTTCGCCTGAAAAAGAATATATGTGTTTCAAAAGTTTGTTTAGACATTACATTTGTATCAGCACCTGTATCTATCCGACATTTTAATATATATCCATAACAGTCCACATCAATTTGCCAATCCTGATGTGATTTATTGATAGCGCTAATTATAAAGTTATTATTTTCAAAGGGTGAATTGTTACAGACAGAACTTACTTTATTAAGTTTAGGTTTGAAAAAACAGCAATTGGCAAAATGATTTGGTTTTTTACAAGTTATACAAACTTTTCCCATTGCTGGACATTTAAATCTATGAATTTGACCACATCGAGAACATTGTTTCTTATATTGACTTGTCTGGCTGCGACTACTTGAAATGTTTCTTGATGCTGATGACTCTGAACGATTATCCCTTCTCCCTATGCTTCTTGAAATCCTTTTTGGCTGATATTTTGCGACATTTATATTTAATTGTTGACTATTTTGTAACTTTTCTGACCTATTTTGCGACATTTCTATGCTTTTTGCTATATTTACGGCACTTTCTATTTCCAACTTGTCCTTTTGTAACAAATGTTCTTGGATTTTACGGCTTCTTATTCCAATAACAAACATGTCTTTTATTAGAGAATTTTGGAGACTTTTGAACTCGCATGAATGACTTAGGTTGGTCAGACTTGTGACATATTCATCGATTGTTTCACCTTCCTTTTGTGTTCTTGTGAAAAAATTAAATCTTTCGACGGTCACGTTTTTGCATGGAATAAATTTTGCGTCGAATTTGTCAAACACGTGTTTTAAGGTTAATGAAGAATCTGCTCTGTTAATATTGAATGAATTAAATACCTTTAATCCTTCGTCGCCGATTGCGTTTAAAAGGATTGCGACTTGTTTGGTTGGTGATCGGTTGTCAAGCTCGTTTGCTTCCATAAAAATTTCGAATTTTTGCTTCCATGTCCGCCATCTTTCACATATTTGTCCGTCGACAATGAGAGGTCGTAGCGTGTTTGAAATTATTATGTTAGACTGATCTGCCATATTATTTTTTCTTGTATTTGTATTAATTTTTCACTTCTGACACCATGTTTTATTGTAAATGAGTAAAGAAGACTTGTTTAGTTGTATAAACTTTATTTGATCACTTACATGATATGCACGTTGGGCGTTGACAAGAATAAGAAGGAAGTAATATCTATGAACGACCCAATATATAGTAATAATCATAGACAATAATGTTACAAAGAACACGATTTCTATTAGCATCTTTATTCGGTAATATAGGTTTGGCTGCATTTAGTGTATCTATATTTAGGACAAACTTCCATCATACAAGATCTGAAATAACATCTCTGCAAATCAATATTTCCTATAGCCAATATGCCCAATATCTTTCAAATAATATATGTCTTTTTGTCAATTACCTTTTCGGAACATTTAAATTTACACTTACATGGCTCTTTAATGCAACAAGCAAGTCTTTTAGAATGGAGACGAATTAGGTGAGTTCTCTATAACTGAAGAACTTGTTGAGAAGTTACTTTGTTTTGTCAGGCATACCCTCAATAATTACATGTTGATTCCTCGAAGTTCTAAGTATGTGGGAATTGTTTTCCACCGATGAGTTACACGGTATAATATTTTATTGGTCTGTGTTTTTCATTGTATTTAGATTTTTAGTATCGATATTTATTTTCATTAAAATGTAATCAGCTCGTCTCTTCATTTTGTTATTAAATTTTCGCTAAATTGAATAATGAGGGCTGTAAATCTGGAATATAATGTAAAGTACGTTAGACTTTTTGAGTCATAATTAGAAATACATCAGAATAGCTCAATATTTAGACAGACCCATATCTAAAAAAAGTCAGTTATTACTAACAGTATATATTATAAGAGGGACACAATAATTAATTAGTTTCAATCATAATCATTATTTTTCATAATTAAAGAGACCGAATTAGAATCTGGTCTCTAATTATTACTGTTTTTTCAATCAAAGAGGGTCTCAATAAAAAAAAGGTCACAACTTACTTAAGAAAGTTTAGTATGATATAGACTCAATTATGAATAAGGTCTATATTTAATTAAAAAGTATGAATAGTACTTACCTTTACATTTAATTTTGTAACGGCCTATTTCGGCTTAGATCACTATAAAACTAAACACTTAACGACATGCTCAATACACTTGTGGCACCTTACTGCTTGTCTCTTTCGAATTAAACAAACGCGGAAATTGGAGAGGAATGAAAAAGACCGAAGTATACGTTACGTAGCTTTCTACGCCAAATTCGGCTCTTGTTTTAATTACAGTCGAAAAAGGTAGTAGTTTTAGGTCGTTTCCTGACATAAAGTCAAAATCACGATTTTCTTAGTTAGGTCCCTTTAATTCTAAACGTGCGATTGTTAAATCATTGACTTTGTATCACTTAGTCCATTTGTGTTTATATTATCCGTATATTATGTCTATATATATATATATATATTTATGTATATATTTATATGTATGTATCTATATATTTATTTATGTACATATGTATATGTTACATTTTATGGCACATTTATTAACTTAAATTTTTATAGTTTCATTTAGCACCTACCATCTACTTTTCACCATGACAAGGGTTGACTGGTAGAGAATGCCATTAGGCATTAAGTCCGCCCATTGTAGCCTTTAGCTTAAGGTTTAACAATGAAGCTTAAATAAATAAATAAATAAATGTCGCGTGTATGGACTAGCGGTCTTTTTTTGTCGTGTCAACCGACTTCAAAAAAGGCGGAGTATCTCAATTCGACACTATATTTTTTTTTGTTTGTTTCCTCAGAACTTTCGATTTAGTGAACCGGTTTGTCCCACGTGGTCCCATATTAATTTTGGGTATTGGATCTTTGGCTCAGGACACTTAGGGATCTCCTGAAAGTCACTACATAGTATAAAACAAAGTCATCCCGCTGTCTGTTTGTCCTCATGTATGCTTAGATCTTTACAATCACGCAACGGATCTTGATGCGGTTTTTTTATTAGATAGAGTGATTCAAGAGGAAGTTTTATATGTATAATACATTGCATCCGTGCGAAGCCGGGGTGGGTCGCTAGACAATTATAAAATGAATACAGAGCGAAATGTTTGAATTTTCTTTCTATTCGGCATCATTATCATCAGCCTTTGGTTGTCCACCGATGGACGTATGCCTCTCCTAGAGAATGCCATTGTTTCTTATAATAAAAAAATGTCTTAATAGGTCGTGCGTAAGATTATAATTTTTTCGTTTAAATATAATTGAGTTTCAGATTGTTTTTATTTTACATTTTTAAATATGTATTTTGTATTGCTATTGTTTTTTCTGTAGTATGTACTGTTATATTTTTTTCTTTTTAGGGTTCCGTACCCATAGGGTAAAATGGGGCCCTATTGCTAAGTCTTCGCTGTCTGTCTGCCCGTCTATCATCAGGCTGTACTCATGAACCCCGATAGTTAGACAATTTTCACAGATGATGCATTTCTGTTGCCGCTATAACAACAAATACTAAAAAACTGAATAAAAAATATTTAACTGGGGTTTTTATAGATTGAACCCTTCGTGCGCGAGTCCGACTCGCATTTGGCCGGTTCTTTTTTTAATTTCTTTTTTATGTTGTGTGCGCCCTGTCCCTCGGTAAATAAATATGTTTTGCTCCTGTCTTTCTTCCTCCCTTGGCAGAGAAGCCGTCGAGCCCGAAGAGTTGCGAGGTGACCAACGTCACTTTCGACTCGCTGGCCGTGAGTTGCGTTCCAGGCTACGACGGGGGGCTGCAACAGACTTTTCAGTTGGAAGTGAGTTTTTTTTTTTATGTGAAAAAGAGGCAAACGAGTTATAATCGCTGTTAAGTGAATGTTGTTAAGTAAATGATTTTAAGTGATAAGCGCCGCCCATGGACATTTGCAACACGTTTGGTTGAAATACGCTGCTACCTATAAATAAAGTGAATTATTATTAATGCGGCCGCCACATGCGAAGCACCAGCTTTCAAATAAAAAAAAAGAATCATCAAAATCTGTTCACTCAGTTGAAAGTTCTGAGGTAACAAACATAAAAAAAAAACCTTTGAGAACCTTCTTTAGTTCTTTTTTGAAGTCAAAAAGAAGAAAAAAATTAAATCTCATATTTACTGCAGACACAACAGCGTTATTAAATTTAACGTCTGATGCTTTTGAAAACGAGCGACTGTTGAGTTTCTTGCCGGTCTCTTCAACAGAAACTACTTTCCTAACGGGCGGTACCTTAACCGATTGTAATTTTTCATGTAAAATTTGACTATTCAAATAAAGATATTTTCGATTTAATTCGATTTTAACACCCCATAACCTTAGCCGTGATAGCTCAGTGTCCGGGCGCTCGCCTTTAATTCAATATACTCGAGCAACCTGAGTTCGATCCCCGGTGCCGGCACCAATGAAGTTTTTAACTTTAAGTGCTGACTTATCACGTGCTCCGCGGTGAAGGAAAACATCGCGAGGAAACCTGCATATTTGCGAAATAATAACAAAAAAAAATATTTTTCGAAGATATGTTAAGTCCGCCAATCCGCAGTGGGGCCGCGTGGTGGACTATGCCCTGATACCCTCTGTGGGACATGTATAGGCTGTTACTTTACTTTACTTTTTTTTTACCCCATAACAAAACATCAACGTCGTCCAGGTTTACGAGGCGGAGTCCGGCGCCTTGCTGCGCAATCTAAGCGGGCATTCCGCTCGCTTCGCGGCCAGCGCTTTAACAGCGCGCGCACTCGTTCTGCGCGTGCGCGCTGCCAACGCGAAGGGCGCCAGCGACGCGTTGCTGCTCAACTGCCGCCTTCCTGCCCACCCCGAGCGGAGGACGGGTGCGTGATGTATAAGGGTTCTAACGTTTTTACCTTGATCCTAATAATTTAACTATAACTGAACTTAAATGTTGACAACTGTTATAACGACAAGCGGCACCGGTGGTTGTATCGCCGTACGGGAACGCGGCCGGAATGCAAGTGACCGCTGCTCCATGCGACCGTGTCCCTTGGCTCGAGTAGATAGCGTCATATCCGGTATACGGTGTTGCCAGCGCCAACAGATGATAGAAAAAGGGACAGCCTATACATCTCCCACTGCTGGGCAAGGGCCTCTGTACAGAGGGTGTTTTTATGTGAGAAAGTGGCAAACGAGCCGACGGTTCACCTTACAAGTGACCGCCACCCATTGAAATTTGCAACACCAGTGGGCTGCACATGCGTTGCCACCTTTAAATTAATCGGCGGACACATGTTTTCGAAATATTTTTTTTATGTACAGACTTAGATAATTCTAAAACATCATAACTGTCCATTCGCCTGTGCGCGTTTCACTGCAACTCGTACTTTAAAATTTCACTTATCTTTGGAAAAAGTAAAAACAACGTCTACGCTTGTATGTGAAAAAAGTTAAAACATAACGTTTGCTTTGAACCCAGTCAACGGCTAAGGCTGATGGTATGAATTACTGATGCAGCCCACAGGCAATCATTCAAACGGACTGAGACAGCAATGGGAGACACACAAAGTAAAAAGAGATTTTTTTTGCTTGCACTACCTTAACAGCCATCTGATACTACTTTTCTGAACTTAATTCTGTAACTACTCCGCTTAAAAATAGCGTCCTCAAAACATGCAAGTTGCAAATCGAAGAGAAAAGCAGACATTCCACTCACCCCTTTGGGAAGCAACTTACAAATTTGACAACAGTATATAAGAATATTTTACAGTGATTTGGATGACACAGCAATCAAAACACAATTGAGTTTCTCTGTAAGTAAAGATTTATTGTAAGACGTTGAAACTATTACATAAATAATTAAAGTAACAAAAATAAAAGATTTACTATCAAAACTTTACCTGTAAGTAAAGAAACGACATTTAATGTTATTAATCACAATGTCGATTCCTAAATCACTATTTTACATTAAGAAGTTTTTTTGTAATAAAATTATTTTCATGAATTGTGTCATATGACAGCTTAATTCTTTTTATGTTACAATCCATAGTTTTTAAAATAAATTTTATTAGCGGCCGATGCGTGAAAATATTTAAAACAAAGAAATTATTCAATTTTTTTTCTTACGCACTATATTAATATAGCTGAGAGTTGACAGGTTTTTGTTAAGAACTTTTCGTAACTGAGAAGGATGAAACCGATGAAAATTGTGTTTGCATTTCCATATAATAAATGTTTCGGAACATATTGTTTCACAAAGTTAGCTAGTCCCAAACTAGGCAAAACTTATACATGAAAAATGCTCTTATTTAGTAAATAGCATGTTACTGTGGTAGGGCCACGCGACAGTCTTCGCTGTTGCATTAATGGGCAGAAGACCGTGGTAAAGTGGAAGCGTTACTGCATAAGTGGTACTTCTGCATTTCGTCTGGCGAGTGAAGTAGCCGGGGCCCATTGTATTAAAAGGTAGCAACGCATCTGCAACTCACGGGTGTTGCAAATCTCTATGGGATTTGTCAGCTCGTTTGCCACCTTCTCACAAAAAATGTTATAGATATGAACCACCCGGATAATAGCGAAACATAATGTTCATCACATAATATTTTTCTAGTATCAGCAGACACAAGAAACGGCTTATCCGCTAATTATCCGCTTAATTGGCGTAGCGGATAGCCTGGATGAAGAGTAACATGTGTTCTAATTTCCTAATGGAATAATATATAAAATAAAAGATAATTTTGATCTTTAAATAGGAAAAATTTTAAAAATATAAATTTGTCGTTCATGAAACCAATTATCGTCTCGAATTAATCAATCAATCAATCATTTATTTAGAATTTAGTTAAACGAATCAACACAGATTAATAACGTATAAACATTCTATAAGGGTTAATATAGGGACATACCCTATATACATATATACATACCTTTGTGCTATTGCTAATGGAACCAACTGACGTGTCCAAATGAATAGCGGCGGGGCCAGTGAGGGTGGAGCTGACGACGCTGCTGGTGACCGTGCTGGTGGCGCTGGGCCTCCTGGCGGTCACCGTCGCGGTGTCCGCCACAATGTGCTACTGCAAGTATTGCAGCAATGGCAGGGGTGCGTATCCCTCACTAAATGCTACATTTATTCATACAAACGTTGATATATTTGTCAATAACATTAGTTGACACAGAGTTATAGTTAAAAAATATTTTTCATCTTGAGCCACACTTTTGCAGACTTCGTCTTCGAAATGTTTTTTTTTTGTAATTTTTAACATTTTTTCCTTATAATTGTGTTTTTTTTTTTGGTAATGTTATTCGATTAGGTTATTACTTTTATTAGAATAATGTTATGAGATCCTAGAACCCACCAGCAAGTTTACACATATAGCACATGTATACTTATAAGAAATATTGCTAATAATAAGCATTCGAGCCGATATAAAACTGTAGAAAAAACATAATTGTTTATTAATTAATTGAATGCGCGGACGAATTCCGGAAAGAAATCAATATTATTTAAAGGCACCTGTATAACACACTATCAAATGATATTAACGACCGTAATAGCATAAATTTAATATACTCTTATTGTTTATAAATACTGTATCTCATTTTAAGTGAATGTCAGATTCCAATGAGAATAAACTTCTTTAAACGTAGATACCAGTATGCTAGCATCCAATATCAACGACCTAAGTATCTTAAAAATTCAGAAGATGGCGCTACATGACGTTGTTACGTTGAGAGTAATTCGTAATGAAAAATTGCTTGTTTCATGTAATATCGCGCGTTTCATATAGGATGCCCATTTAGATAAATGTACAAGCAAAAATTTCTCATTTAAAGTCATTAGATCAACAATTTCACTTGTGACGGTAAATTAAGCGCTGGATGTGAATTAAAGACGAGCGTCATATATAACTTCGTAAAGTAATTTTTGTTCCTCCTCATTCGGTTATCTTGTAATTTACAGGAATCGCAACTGGCTGACATGTTTTCGTATCGTAAAATTTTTAAACCAATGTTATTTAATGTACGCGTATTAAATAGACGGAAATATGTGGGCGATATATTTACTTAATATATTGCACGATTTTTTGTATGCGATGCGATGAAAACGTACTCATACTTGCGTTTATACACGTAGTACTAATCGCTATATTAAATAAATTAACTTATACATATGCATGCTTATCTTAAAAGATTTTTTATGTAAGATGGCAATCGAGATGGCAGTTCACCTGATGTTAAGTGATGACCATGGCCCATGGACATTTGCAACACCCGTAGGGTTCCAGATGCGTTGCCATCTCGTAATACGGTGGTAGGGCCACGCAGCAGCCTCGGCTGTTGCACGAATGGGCAAGCTCGTCCGGGCAAGTACCACGACCTTACAGAAGACCGGCGTAAAGTGGAAGTATAATACTTTCGCGTTTCGTCTGGTGAGCGAGGTGGCCGGAGCCCAATTTTCAAAAGGTTGTCAACACATTGCAACCATCGGGTGTAGCAGATGTCCATGAGTGTCGGTATTCATCATCAGGTGAACCGTCAGCTCGTTTGGCAACTTTTCACATACAAAAATAATAGTAATAATAATGGGTTCCCCGGCTACCTCACTCACGAAACGCAGGAGTACAACACTTCTACTTCACGCCGGTCGTCTGTGAGGTCGTGGTACTTACCCGGACGAGCCTGCCCAATCGTGCAACAGCCGAGGCTGCTACGTGGCCCTACCACCGTGAGACCAGGAGGGTTGCAGATGCGTTGCCACCTTCTAATAAAGTGGGCCCCCGTTACCTCACTCTCCAGACGAAACGCAGAAGTGTAACAATTCCCCTTCACGCTATAACGATATATATACAAACATGGAACACCCATGTCTCGATGTTTTTTAATTGATGTTTCTTTCTAGAAAACAATGAAAAAACCAAGAAACCACAGGACGACACTTCCGACGTGCTATTGGCGAGTTTGAAGAAGACTGATAGTAGCGATAGTGTAGGTGAGTAATTGTTCTTAAACTGCAGAGGGTTATACGGGACCCTATTAATAAGACTCCGCTGTCTGTCTGTCTGTCCGTCTGTCGCCAGCCTGTATCACATGAACCGTGATAGTAAGACACTTGAAATTTTCACAGATGATGTATTTCTTTTGCCGCTATAACAACAAATAAATATTTTCACAAATTTTCAGATCTAAAAATAGTATATAAAAATAATTAAGTGCCCATACAACAGACATGAGTTTTGTTTGCCGTTTATACAGATAATGCTATGGAACGCTTGGTGCGCGAGTCCGATTCGCACTTGGCCGGTTTTTTAGTATGAGGGAAATTTTCAAAGGATATTCTGGGAAGACAGGTCTAGGTGGGTGTCATACCCACTGGATCCTTCCCGATGGCCGCCTTCAGTAAATTGGAGGGTTCCAGGTATCCCTCATCTTATACCGGCACGAGACCACTTCATACTGATCCTACGGGATCCACTAAAATGTATGGTCCGTGAACCCATTGCAGGGGAAATAATACTTATACGACAAGCAGGGGATACCTTAGTGCTATTCTATGAGCCCGGGTAAAACTTTTGAGTTGATATTCAACTAAACTGTTAAACATTAACTTCAACTCGGCCTAAGCTCAGTACGGGCGCTTGAGTTCAATATACTCGAGGTGAGTTCAAATCCTGGTGCCGGCATCAATTGATTTGTTAATTGAAATTTTAAATACTTGACACGTGCTTACTTTAGAAACCTCATAATTTATCGATTGAATGCATTTTAATGACTTCAATAGGTCACATTTGCCGAACCAATAGGGTCCAACTTTGACAGCGGACGATACGAGTTATCCGAATCGTCTGTTATTGAAGTTTTGAAACAATAACTTAACTTCACCATTTATCTTCATTAATCATTCCAATCCCAATGGTGGTGTGGATTCGATCCTGAGTACTGGGAAAATATTGTGTGATGACCATAGTGTTTTTCTGGTGTCTGCATGTTTATATATGCATAATATGTATTTATTTACAAAAGAAAAGTATGTCTAAGTATGTTTATCATTTATCTAGTACTCATAGTACAAGTGTTGCTTAGTTGGGACTAGGGAACGATGTGTCAAAAATGTGTCCTAAAATATTCATTTATTTATTTTGTTCCAGATAAGAACCCGGACATAATACCGATCAAGTCGAAGCTCGGCGACTGCCCGACGAACACCGCAGGCAAGTTGGGCCCAACATTCGACGGACACGGCGCGGCGTCCGACGGCCAATACGAGCGCCGGTACACGCCGGTGCGTTTCCAACGTTTGCCGCAAACGGCCAACGTTGGCGCCAACGCGGCCTGGCAGCCGTGCGACGCCGTGTACGAGGACTGGCTGAGATACAAGAACGCGTTGCCTCTGGACACCAGCGATTTGGTAAGCGGTGTGTCAAGATTGGTGGAAAAATGAACGAAAAGTTTTTTCGCCGCAACGGAATGAACCCACGTCCTCCGGACTCGCGGTCGGACGCTTTAACCATTTAACTAAACGGCTTTTTCCGGCCATTTTTTCTATAAAATATTTCACATTAACCGCTGAGATTAGCACCAATAAAAAATAAATTTCAAGCGGTGTGTTCTGTGATGTAGGGTGCAGCGTGTTGTAGATTCGGTTCGATTGCTGAGCCATAGGCCCCGGTGCCGCGGGTCGTCGATTTGATTCCCACGCGGGAAAATTATAGATTCTTGTTTGCAAAACGCCCCTACAGCACATTATTATGGTGCAGAATTAGTAATGTTTTTGAAAAGAGGCAAAAAATAAATTAAAAATTGCGCAGCCGCTAAACAGCATTTGCACAAACACAACCTTTTACAGATGACCGTCGTAAAGTGGAAGTGTTAATTTACTTCGTCGTTCCGTCTGTAGAGTGAGGTAACCGGGACCCACTTTGATCAAGGTTGACAAGTCATGTCGAGCCCCTGAGACAGCGTAGGTGTTGGGTGGTGGTAAAATTACACTTAACGTCACATGAACCGCTCGCTTGACACCAAGTTACAACAAAAGCGAAAAGTTAAAGGCCCCTGCTTCAGTAGTAATAAAAATAAGATAATTTAAATATGTAATAAGTAATCAAGTGGACCATAAAGTTTTTATATTTCATCGTTGTATGGTGACCGTCGTAGACTTTTATGAGCCCAGCAGTTTTTGTTTATGTTCAGCTCCCACTAGAGCAGCTGAGACCTGCGGACGCCTTCGCTTCTCGTCGCGTTAACACCCTCAGGTGCGTCTTATATACAATTTCTACTTAAAGTGCTCACACGTAAACTTTCCACTATCAATGACACAGTGTGTGTGAGAAGAGAGAAATTGAGGGAGAGAGTGAGAGAGAGAATAAAGAATAAGACAAAGACAGAATGCGATGGAGAAGACAGAGCGAGATTGTTAAGCTAACAGAATACGTGCATTACATATAAAGCTATATCGTAATCATTACGACTATTATACACAGAATTTCACACATACAAAAATATGAACGTAGTAACATACATAGTATACTAACTTAGCATAGAACTACTAACTTAGCATAGAACTACTAACTTAGCATAGAACTACTAACTTAGCCGGAAATAGTTGCCGTACGTTGAATGTCATCTTGAAAGCAAAATAAAAGGTGGTTCTCAATTTTTTTTTTTACTGTTATGTTTCTACATCTAAACTACACTGCAGGTATTACGCCCCCGCCTTCCCCGATGAAAGGGTGAGCGTCAGAAACAACGGCGTATTTTACAACAAGCCGTTGTCCGACCACGGCACTCCAACTCGGTCGAAATTCAGCCGTAAGTATTTAATATACCGAAACTTTTTTGAAGTATTTCGGGAACTGAAGCTTGATAAAAAACCTGTTGTTTCGATTAGATGTATATGCGAAAAAGGTTACCACGACCTACTTATTGCGATCATTAATTATAATGATAGGACACAAAAGGAAAATCATTATAGACAAGATTAGAAGACAGGTATTATAATATTGACGGTATTGTAATTTTGACAAAAATCATGGAAATCAGTCTTAATAATACAGTTGTATAAACTTAAGGAAAAAACTGAAAGTATCCTCGATACAAGTAAGAATTAATGATTCGTTTTGATACACTAGTCTAGATATATTTGGGTGTACGGGCGTTTTTGACTTTAAAAAGTCTGTACGGAATAAATGTACATATTTCTAAGCTTAAAGACAGAAATGTGCCGAAAATATATTAAATTTATACAAATTGAGGAGGTAAATTAATAAAATATTATGGTAAACACTGGAAGCTAGTTGTATAACAACTAGCTTCCAGCTTACAAACAGACAGAAGAAATAAATAGTGAAGCTAATTAAATATAAACTATTAATTACTAATAATTACAAAACACGAAATTTACACATATTAATAAGGATTTACATTTACAAAATTAATAAGGATTCTATAATATACAGTATATTAATAGTATACTCTTAAAGTACAGCCTTAAAAAAGGTTAAATAAAATATTTTGTTATAATGAAATATTTTTTAATAAAACAGTTTTTAGTATATGTCACGCTAAAGCACTGGTTTGTGTTCAAAAAATAATTTGGTTACTAGCACAATTTATAGTTACTGAATATATATCAGGTTGTTATTGAAACAATCATCGATGGATCTGATACCTCTTCGATTCGTATAGTCAAAATAAGACTTACATAGGTTACGTTTCATTTATAGTAGAGTAAAGTATAGTATCAGCCTATACATGTCCCACTGCTGAGCAAAGGCCTCCTCTGTACAGAGGGTATCAGGGCATAGTCCACCACGCGGTACAACTGCGGATTGGCGACTTCACAATATTTGTTATTATTTCGAAAATATGCAGGTTTCCTCACGATGTTTTCCTTCACCGCTGAGCACGTGATAATTCGGCACATAAAATTAACAATTTCATTGGTGCCGGCACCGGGGATCGAACTCAGGTTGCTCGAGTATATTGAATTAAAGGCGAGCGCCCGGACACTGAGCTGTCACGGCTCTTTTTTTTTAATGTATGTATTTCATTTATGTATGAGGAAAAAGCAAAGGCTCTAAATGAGACCCTTGTGGCACTCCCTGAGAACAGATGAAGAAGACAAAAAGTTATGAAGAGTTAAATACATAATTTCAATTGCAAAACCCATATGAGAAAAATCGCACTAATTCGTATCGTCTTTCAAGGCACGACTTTATTACGAACATCCGAAACGTCTGGCTACTAAGTGATTGTTGAGTGGTTTCTATTACAAGATTGAAATATATCACGCCCTCGGTACATGAGAGTCAAGGGTGAGTCAAATTCGTGGGAGAAAATTAATCAACTCTAAGGATTCCCAATTAATTACGTTAAAAATGATTTGGGGAAGATCGTGTCGCTGTATGGTTGTGTCAAATACCTAAGCAGACAATGAAAATGTTCATGGAATGCTAAACATATCATGGTTTTATAAGCTCCTATTGACGCTTTCATAAGTTATTACATTCATTTGTAACTTAATAGAAAATACTTTATTTATAAATTGTCGAAAAGCGGCGTTTTTGAGAAACGTACAGTTTACAACATACTGATATGTTCGAAATAATAGCAAAAAATGTATATATTTCGAAGATATGTGAAGTCCGCCAGTCTGCAGTGGGGCCGCGTAGTGGCCTATGCCCTCATACCCTCTGCACAGAGGGGGCCTTGGCCCAGCAGTGGGACATGTATAGGCTGTTACTTTACTTTTATATGACACCATCCAAAAAGAAAAGATTTTAACAGAAAAAGAAGTTATTAATAAATTATTCATTAAAACATGTAGAAAATGTACGAAAAGATTGTCGCCGCTGTGGGAATCGAACCCACGTCTTCGGCAGTTGCGGCCTGACGCTCTAGCCTCTGAGCTAAACGGCTGATAGCCACAGCGACGAAAATTTAAATTTTCTATAAAAAACTTTAAAATTATTCATTTTGATATGTGTTAATTGCTAATTATTATTAATCAAATTTCATATTTCATATATTTTATATTTCATTCACCTATAGGTAGGTAAACGGAGACGTTCCTCCTTTCATTCATATAAAATTATTCCTTAGGTTCACTCAAATGATATGCCAACACGAATGATTAAATGTGAATTTTTTATGTCGAGTTAACTTTTTTGTTAGGAAAACAATCGAGGCTTTGTTTAAGTAAAAGCAAAAAATAAGTAATCAAGGAAAATTACCTCATATGAAAGGAAGTTTTTAAAACCACATTCGTGGTTTTAAAAACTTTTCCTCCAAATTAGATGCGAACTTTCGGCGTTATATATAAATATGTAGTTAATTCTTTATTTTGTAATTAAAAAACAATGATCCAGTAGTCCAAAAATAATAATTAAAGTTTTTTTAATCTTGCCGTATGATATAAGTAATCAGTGTAAATCATATTCGTGACTGTAAAATAGTACTGTCGCCAAAACAACATTGCGTTTGATTGTACAGACTATACAAGAGCTTTTTTTCCACTTTTTAGCAACCTCCCCGCTCTGCGAACGGTACAGGAACCGTTCTGAACAAATTCACAGAGCAATATCCGGCGAACCAGATACGGTGGTGAATAAATGAAAGCGTCATAGTGCTCAATACATGTAAATAAAAGTACAACCTAGAAAAAATGTGTTGTTTGTATTGACAATATGGAAAATGTCTAAAAAAAATTTCAGTGATGTTTATGTAGAACAAGGGTCGGTTTAGCTTACAGTTTTAGTAAAGCTCTCAAAGAATTTTTACATATTTCTTTTACTTCAAATGATGTTTGAAAGACAAGTTTAGAACTTTCGATCCTATTTAAAATCTTTTTACAGCCGAGACTTTTTCTACGTACGCTAAATAAAATAACGTGATCTAAAATTGGTTTGAAAGTGTAATAAATTGTATTATTAAAAAATTTGTTATTGAACAGGGTGTTTTATTATTACTTCTGTACAGGCAATTTCAAAATAGCTAGATGGAAAATGCAAATATCGTGAAATAAATTATGATACGTAATTTTGTTATTTCTGTTGATATATAAGATTGTATTTGATAAATAGAAATATAATGTTAAAATATTTTTATTGTATATACGACATTAATTTCCACATCAATTGTGTTTCGTAAAATCACGTAAAATATTTCGAAAGACTTCGTCATTTTTTTGGAGAACCGCATCATTTGCGTTTAAATACGAATTTCTCTTATTGTATCTTAAATTTCAAATACGTACTCTCTAAAAGGTGCCATACAAAATTAATTAAAATAAAATTGTAAGCATTAAAATTTATTCGCAGTGCTTTTCCCATTATCGTTATCAGTGATTGGTGAATTTGCCCATTCAATTACCCATATCGATGTAAATAATAATAAATATCATAAATGTTAGGAGGAAAATACTTTGTACGTAATATCGTATTGTTAAAAGAATTTCTGCTTATTGAATGAATAAGGTCACTGGTCACTGACTCAGTTTATCCATGGTTGGAATATTCGTTATTGTTTCGAAGAATTTTTCGCTACGCCTTTATTTCATAGTCGTGTAATTCGGAGATGGAGCCAGGGATTTAGAGGCACATCACGGAAGTGATTTTATTTTCATAACTATGTATGTAGTAAAATAATATACATACTACTCTATACTACAGTCTCGTTCCTATATTGGTTGAAGTCAGACGTGTTTCACTTTGATCTAGAATACCTAAAAACCAATAATTGACTTTGTTTTTAAAGGGATAAGGTTTAAAATCTCTTTAAAAATACCACTATTCTTAATCCGAAGCGATTCAACACATTGTAGTATAAGCAAATTTGTCAGATAAAATGCAGCGTACTCCAACATCCAGACAAACAGTTTGTTTCTCTTCGCAACCTGATCTGTCAGTTGATTCACAAGACCAGGATATTATTCGGAACTTCAACATAAGGAAACGGAAAAATCCTGAACAAGAAAACGCAACAGATCTAAAAGAAGAACTCATGGAGTCTTTTAAGCAAATGCTGAACACGCAAATTAGTGAAATAAAACAACAAAATAATCAAATAATTGAGTCTAACTCGCAGATCATAACATTCCTGGAGCAGAATGCTACGAATTACAAGGAAATTATGACCAGAGTACAAACTCTTGAAGCCAAATATGAAGTAGATATGACACGGATTAATGAATTGGAATCTCAGTTAAATGAACTCCAAAAACAATGCGTCAAGAATGTTATTGAAATAAGGAATATTCCACGGGAAGAAAAAGAAGACGTAAACAAAATTATCAATAATATTTATGACACATTAAACATAAAGCGTTTGGACGAAACAATAAAAATATATAGGAGAGGTAAACAAAATGGGCCCATTGTTGTGGAGTACCAGGACATCAAAAAAAGAGAAGAACTCTTAAAGGCTGCTAAAAAGTATAACACAGAAAATAAGGAAAAACCAATAACCTCAGAAATGTTAGGGGTTAGTGGAATACCTTCAAGAGTTTATATATCTGAAGCTCTAACACGGATGTCGAAGAAGATGCTGGCAGCTGCTCGAGAACTTGTGAAGAATGGAAAATATAAATACTGTTGGGTGTCAAGAGGCAATATTTTGTTACGTAAAGAGGAGGGCCAGTCTGCCATAGTCATCAGAAGCCTAAATCAAATCAAAGACTTAGATATGCAATGACTATTTGCAGGCATATACGTCAAGAATCTATGGTACATTTTAATTTTCTTTTTACTATCTGTTTTTGTACTCTATCACTATAGTCACACCTATTACATTAATTTTAGCTATTACATTAGTTCTAATTCAGTTTATAGTACTGAATATCATACTACTACAATAACTGTTTATTCTTAATAACTTGATAATAATTTTTTCTGTATTATTATCCCAAAAAAATATTTTGTATCTATATATCATATGTATCATATGTATCATTTATATATATATCATATTATTATATTATTATACTCCATCTATATCCCTCCCGCTCATAATGAACAAACACTTGCTTGCATATGTCCTAGTTCGCTCATAAACATCAGTAACTATCATCCTCAACCAAATATCCTATATCAAATTCTTATTTCATTAATTACACCATGGGTAACAGTTTAGAAGACATTATTTCCGACGTTGATAATAATATCAACGTAGAAAATTCTTTTTTGGTTGAGGATCCAGAATCACTTTTTCATTATGGACTTGATAATAAACTATTTCTTAATTGTAAATTGATCGTACAAAACATTTGTAGCATAAACAAAAAAAATTACGACTTTTGGCAAGGAGTAATTTAGATTAAGATATTGACCTAACATAGTTGACGCTGATTGCTTGGTTGTGGAAATAGACAGAAACAACGCTTTAATTTGTTTTGTACAGATCACCATCATTTAATTCCATAACGAACTTTCTTTGCTCTCTAGATGAGTTGTTGCTCAAGCTCAAGCATATACCTAACATTTATTTAACTGGAGACATTAATATTGATATTAGCAACTATAGTAATGACCCAAAGTCTGATGAGTACCTAGATCTTCTTGCAAACCACTGTCTTGTACCGAGTCATTTGTTTCCGACTCGTCATGATAAATGTATTGATCACTGTTTTGTAAAGTCAAATTCAAAAATGTTAACCGTAATCTGTAAGTCGTCCGTAACTGATCATAGCAGCTTATATTTGAATTTATCATTAACGCAGCACATTCTGTACATAAATATAAAAAATCATTTAAAAAACTTAATTATGATATGGCTTACAAACTATTGAATGAAATTGATTTTGCAAATATAATATCGTTAACAGACCCAAATACAGCAACTGAAGTATTTATTGAAACTCTATCAAGGATCATTAAAAAAAGCACACAAATCAAAACAATACCTAACCGAAAGCTAATTCGTCATAAATGGATAACTCCTGGACTACTACGCTGTATGAAATTCAGAGATACATTACATAAAAGACACCTAAAATCACCAAATGACAAAGATCTGGAAATTACTTACAAACGTTATCGTAACCATTGTAACAATCTTCTTCATAGTTTAAAAAAATGAGCACGATAAACGAAATCTAAATCTAAACAAAAATGATATCAAAAAGACATGGGATGTTATAAAAGATGTATGTAATTTGAATACGTCAGATAAAGCCAAAGCTCCAAATGAATTACTAAGAATCAAATCAACACCTCAGGAATCTATCGATTATGCTAATGGTTTTTTTTTGTTAATATAGGCGCTAAACTATCGAATAACATTTTACAAAAATTAAAACTTACAGAAGAGGAATTAGTTAAAAACTTTAGGTGCAATAAAACTCCATTAAAGTCATTCATGATGTTGGAAGCAGATGAACTGGAGGTACAAAAATATCATTATGTCATTGAAGAATACCAACTCTACAGGTTGGGATGGTATATCATCCAAATTTATCAAAAATTTTGTTACAATTATTAAAGCACCTCTCACTCATATATTTAATTTATGTTTGCATTGTGGAGGTTTCCAAACGCGTTGAAGGACTCTATTGTAATACCTGTCTTTAAAGCAGGGGATAAGGATAGCATTACAAACTATCGTCCAATTTCTCTCCTGCCTATATTCTCTAAAATTTTAGAAAGAATCATGAACAAAAGACTTGTCAGTTACTTAGAAAATAATAAACATTCTATCAATAAATCAATATGGTTTCAGAAAAAATAAATCGACTTCAGATGCAGTAGAAGACTTGGTAACTAACATAGCAAGAAATCTTGACTGTAGAAAAAAGAGCATCGGTGCTTTTTTGGATTTAACTAAGGCCTTTGACACTATCTCAATTCCCCTACTTATTCGTAAGTTGGAGTCAACAGGCATTAGAGGTGTACCACTAGATCTTTTCAAAGATTTTATTTCTAACAGGACACAGACTTTGAAAATTGGGGATCTTTATAGTGCTAAGCTAAAAATAAATTTCGGTGTTCCGCAAGGATCTGTGTTAGGGCCCACCTTATTTCTTATTTATATAAATGATCTATGCAATATTGAGATACCTCATTCAAAAATTATTACATTCGCTGATGATACTGTAATTGTATTCCAACATTCATCATGGACACAAGTTAAAACAGCAGCTGAAACAGGGCTTCAAAGTATTATAAACTGGCTTGATTACAACTTACTTAAATTGAATTTAAATAAAAACAAAGTACATAACATTTAGCATAAAAAATAATTCGCAACCTCCTATAGATTTCACACTGAAAGCACATGAAAGCGTATGTGATTTTAATTGTTCCGTTACTACTAGAGAATCCAATTGTTATACGTTATCTGCAACAAATAGCACAAAATACTTAGGTATTGAGATAGATAAAAATTTGAATTGGAATCCACATATCAATAAGCTTAAGTCTAGAATACGTAAACTTATACCTATATTCAAAAAGATTAGAAACTTGAGGGACCAGAAGACAAACAAGACTGTTTACCTGACCTTGTGTCAATCTATAGTTACTTACGGCATCATCGCTTGGGGGGGTGTGCGGAAAAGTACTCTTATAAAAATAGAAAGAGCTCAGCGGTGTATCTTAAAGGTAATTAATTATAAGCAG